AGCAGGGAGCCCGATGCGGGACTCGATCCCGGGACTCCAGGATCATGACCTGAGCCGAAAGCAGTCGCTTAACCAACTGAGCCACCCAGGTGCCCGAATATATTGGTATTATTATGCAAATGGTGAACAGGGCTTCTGATTGACCCAAATTCTCATCTACTATACTAGGAGGATGAGAAAAAGGGAAGGATGCAAATGGAAGAAGGATAGCAAGGAGGAAAGAGAATTAAATATTCATCACAAGCCACAGAAAATGCCTACGCCTGAAAATCAAGAAATTTAGAAAAGAGGGAGGAGGTAAATACCAAAAGAAACAGTTAAAATCATGGTTCCTCTGGAGAAGCTAATGGGGTGGGGGGTGGGGGTGGGCTGCTTGTCAACAACTGAAGGCTCTGAGATTTTATCTAACTTGCATGGTAACAAATTAACAAGTTCATGGATGCTGGCAGAAGACGCAACACCTGGAGAACAGAGACAGAAGTTATTATGTACAACGACAGTATTATTGTTTTATTTTGTCCTCTGAACCCCAATTCTCACAGCATGGTACCAAGGAAGCCAGCCAGCACCTGGGCACCCAGTGGATTGCACTGCAGGAAAAGAAGACTGAGCTCAGGGAAAATGAAGTTTTAACAATGGACAGTAAGTCGGCCTGCCTTTTGTTGGTGAAGAAGATGCTGCTGTGTCCAAGGCTGTATGTTATACAAACATCCTTAAAAAGATACTGAGGAACGAAAAGAGGGGCACTTAATGCGTCGCTCACAAGTCATACAGAAATGCAACAGACCCACGGGGAACTCATACTCAAAACTGCCGTTTTTTTGACAATCAACCACCATGAATGATTTTTTTTTTAATTGCACACACGTATAACCTTCATAAAAATAAAAACCTATTAAGTTAGATATTTTAAATTATTGAAACAACTCGCCACTGACTGGGGATCTTTTCTTTCCAAAGGAGAAACAACGTGGGCGAAAATTGGGAAAGGATGTTTTGCGGAACTTCGCGCAGAGCGGGCTCTTCCCGAGGCAGGGCGGTCTCAACCCCTGCGATCAGAGCCGGGCCGAGAGCAAGGCCCTGAGGCCGCCGCGCCTGGTCCCGGCTGCGCCTCCCGGGCGGGTTCCCCCGTGTCCACGAGGGCGCATCCTGCACCTGCGAGGCCGGGATCGGGCGCCCACGCCTTGGGCTGTAGGACAGTTGCAAGCCATCCATGTGTGTTGAGGGCGTGGAGCAGCCCGTTCATAGTTTGTGTTGCTCACAAGTTATCCGGGGTGTGAATGGAGCCCCCTTGGAAGTCAAGAAATACCAACAGAGACGGAGGACGTAGCCAGTGGGGGCTCGTCTCGGGGCTGAAGGCCAGGACCGGTCACCCGAGCCCCGGTCGGATGGCGCGGCCCCGATGCCTTTGGTAGCCGGTTGGGAGAAAAGGTGGGCCGCATCCTCCGCGCCAGCAGATCCCCCGCCAGGTGCACGGGCCCGACCGCGCGCCCCCCTCGCCGGTGCGCGCCGGCGCTTGGGGCGCTGCAGTCCCGCCTGGCGCTGGGTCCCATCAGTCCCACCTTGGCCGCTCCCTCGCCCGGCCTGGGACCCGAGCGCACCAGCGGCGGGGGCGGGCGCTTCGCGGCTCCGTGGAGTCGGCTCTGCGCTCTCATCCCTCCCTGGGGCAACGCCACCGCCCGAGGCCGCGGAGGAGGGCCGAGCGGGGCGGATCGCGTTTATCAGCCCCATCTCGCATTACATAAGGCCGGGCCCCTATCTCCGCGGGGCATCGCTGAGACTGCCCGGCCGGCGTGCCTTCTCCTACGCGCGGGGGCGCGCCTGCCCACCGCTCCCCGCATCGGTTTGCCTGGTCCTGGGGGGTGAGGGGCCTTGACTCATCTTGGCGCAGAGCTTTGGGACTTCTGCATCCCACGGCGGTTCCCTGCTCCTTCCCTCAACACAGAGACCCCATTCTACAGATGAGGAAACTGGGGCCCACGGAGGTGTCCTACAGCCAAATGACAGCACTCCAGGCACTGGGCAGCCGGCGAGGGGCAGGGGCTTCTGGGCGTAGGGCCTACAGGGGGGCTGGGAAGCTTGGGATCTGGCCAACAGAGAGGGTGAGAGGGAAGAGTGGGCAAGGCGGGGAAGCTTGGGGCAGGAGCGGCAGAAGCACTTGGGAGAGCCTTGGGAGGAGGTCGAGCCTCACTGGGAGTAGGACAAAGCGAGCCTGAGAGGGCAGAGAAGGGGCCTGGAGGGGGAGGCACTGGTTTAGGGGAGGAAGTGGGTGACGGAGACAGCCTGACATCAGTACTCAACAGGCAAATGATGCAGTTGTTGCAGGGGTTTCTGGAGGACTTCTAGAGAAAGGAGGGAGAAGCAGGAAAATGGCTATATGCAATATCCCTGCAGAGGTGGGCTGTTCAGGGGGACCCTGGAGTGGGGGCAGGCTGCCCTCCACAGCCTTCAGTCTGCGCAAACCTGGGTCCCCCAGGGAGAAAGGCTTTGTCCCACAGATACTGGTGAGCAGAGTGGTTTCCCCAGGTCTCAGTGGCACCGGGAACAGTTACACTTTCCGACCTGGGCTAAGGCTAGGTCCTGCCTCCTGCCAGCCTGACGGCTAAGGGTTTCCCAACAGGATGGGTCCACGCTGAAGGCCTGAGTTGGGCACTCTGTGTTTAGGCTGCCCATGCTCAAAATTACCATCAAAGCGACTTTAAAAAAAGAAAAGGTCCCAGGGTCACCTGGGTGGCTCAGTCTGTTAAGCGTCTGCCTTCGGCTCAGGTCATGATCCCAGGGTCCTGGGATCAAGCCCCGCATCGGGCTCCCTGCTTAGCAGGGAGTCTGCTTCTCGCTCTGCGCTGGCTCATGTGCTCTCTCTCTCTCTCTGAAATAAACAAAATCTTAAAAAGAAGAAGAAGAAGAAGTCCCAGAAGGATCCCTGAATCCGACCGGATCTTTCGGTGGAGACCTGGGAATCTGAACTTTTTATAATCCTTCCCACAGTGGGGCCAACAGGGAATCGGATGGAAGAAAAAGAATGAACTTCACTCTTTTCTTTTTATCCTGTTTGAGTTTTATATCCAAATCAAGCATTAGAGACCAGTTCATTGAAAAAACAAAACCCCCAAACTCACACATCTGGTGGACTGTAGTCATAGCCCTGTCGGCCGAGCGCTTCTGGTGACCCACAAGGGTCTGAGGACAGGAGCTGGGCAGACACTCAGGGTGGTTACCAGACAAAACTGCTGCAGTTCGAGCCGGCATGCCTGACACCAGGCTGCCCTCAGGGCCCTCTCACCTACCCCTGCAGGGAGCGCATCCACATCTTGGGAAGGGCTCCAGACCCCTCTCAATGATAAGTCCACAAGAAATCAAACTCTTTCCTTTATGCGACGCTGGATTTTCCACAAAGTAAAATCAAGATAAGTAAAGATGTGGTTTCTAGATAGTGCTTGACAAAACGGAGACCCGGGTTGGAGGCGTCATCACTTTGGCCTATAAAAGCTGCTGCAAGAGGCCAAGGCCACAAGCCACTCAGCTTAGGCCAGCCTACGGGTCTGCTCCTCACTCCTCCTGTGTTGGCTCTAGGCTCCATGGCGCTCTGGTTGACTATGGTCATTGCTCTCACCTGCCTTGGTGGCCTTGCCTCCCCGGTCCCTGGGCCTAACAGCATAGCCCTCAGGGAGCTCATTGAGGAACTGGATAACATCACCCAGAATCAGGTGAGTACCCTCTGGCCAGGGTCCTAGGTCTGAGGGTGCTGGCGTGGGGGACTCTCACGCAAGGTACTGGTCATGGCTCAGGCCATGAAGGCTGGGCCCCATCCTAAGAAGCCCCTTGGACCGGGATGGGCCCAGCCATGAGGGAGAAGAGCCAGGTTGGGGGCAGCAGTATGGATGGACCTATAGAGGGGTTTGGTGGAGCCCCCAGGGAACACCTGTTCCTCTGGCCTGGCCCTGCCTGCCATGGAAGCAGAGGAGGGGCCAGCTCCTACTCAGCCATTCAAGAAGAGGAAAGCAGAGAGGGGCCAGCACTCTCCTAGGACTCCTTAGCTTTTGCCATCTGGTTTGAGTGGAATCATGGGGCCATTATTCACAGCATTTTGGTTAAGCCCATTATTATAGAAGGATTCATTGGTAGTCAGCTCCTGTCCCCAGTGGTGATGGCTCACACTTTCTGGGCAATGACTCTGTGCCAAGCCTAGTGCTGGGTGCTTTTCATCTCCTTCCATCACTGCCAGCCACCTCAAAAGGCAGGTATGATGACCCTATTTGACTGACTAAGCCTCATTAAGGTTGACAAAAGCCAGATTCAAACCAGGCCTGGCTGACATCCAGCACCCATGCTCCAAACTGCAGTGTCCCCCAGTTCAGAAGACAGGTTTTATATACCTGCCCCCACCGCCACCTATCTGACTGACCTGGCCACCCCCTCCTCCCTCACCCAACGCTGACCTGACTCCTTCCTGGAGATGTCCTACTGACTGGCCAGGTGTTTTCTATGCCGCGGCCCTGGCTGCGGAAGGCTTCACACAAGACTTGTCCCTTACTGGTCGTGGCGCTCAGATTTTTCTCTCTCAGCCCCAAGACCCTGGACAATGGGTCTCCCCCACTATGCAGAGCAGGAAGTGAAGCTCAGGAACACTGGGGCGGTCCCAGGCCTAGCTCTGTGCTGCAGCGGGGATGCCCGTGGGGCTGGATCCCTGTGGAGACGTGGCCTGGGCTTACTGTCTTTCTGCTCCCTCAGGCATCCCTCTGCAATGGCAGCATGGTGTGGAGCGTCAACTGGACCTGGACCGGCAGCATGGTAAGGACCCCTGGATGCTGGGAGGGATGGAGCTGAGGCTGTAGGTCTTGTGCTCATCTTCTCTGAGCCTCCCTCACACGGCTCAGGGGTTCCAAGCAAGCTTCAAGAGCTACTCACAGTTTGGAGTCCTCCCACCACCCGAAGCCACCTCTCTCAGGGCTCTCCGCCCCCTCCTCCTGGAGAGTCAGTGAAGGTGCCGGTGGGGGCGTGGGGGTACCCAGCAGGGCCTGACACCCCTGTGTTCTTCTCCCTGCAGTACTGTGCAGCTCTAGAATCTCTGATCAACGTCACCGACTGCAGCGCCATCCAAAGGACACGGAGGATGCTGAAAGCACTGTGCTTTCAGGATACGTTGGCAGGGGTAAGGCCCTCTGCCCTGTACCCCCCAACCCTGCATCCACTCCTGCCAGCCCTGGGAGCTCCAGGGGAACCTGGCTGAGCATCTGGAAAGCAAGTGTCCACTCTGGGGCTGGGTCCACTGTGGCAGCAGGAACACGGCCTTTGGCATTTCCAGGATCTGGGCTTGTGGGCTCCTGACTCCTACCTGAGCTTCGGTTTCCACATCAGTGAAATGTGGGTAATAGTACCCCCCACACACACTTTGTGGGCATTAAATAAGCTGGTTCCTGGAAAGCCCCTGGCGGATGCTGGTCACCTTTGCTCTGGTGTCCCACTAACACACCGGTCTCTCTGTTCTGCAGCAGATCTCCAGTGAGCGCAGCCGAGACACCAAAATTGAAGTGATCCAGTTGATGAAAAACCTGCTCACACATGCCCGGCAACATTTTCGCCACGGGAGGTTCACATGAAGCATGAAAACCTAGCATCCTTATTTGCAGAGGCAGACCTGACCATTTAAGTTACAGATTCATTTTTCTTTCAGATGTCACAAATTTCTTGGGGGAGAGGGGGGCGGGGAGGGAGCGAGACACGATTTCCTTAGCTTGGACCTCAGCCTGTGCCGCCTGCCTCCGCCCAGCCGAGCCCAGCCTGCCCTCCTCTCCCGGGCTCTGCGCTCCAAGGACACAAGGGGAAACACTGCCTCGCGGACTGCGCCCCCCTGAGAGCAAACCACAGCATTACAGTGGGGCGCGCCGTGGCAGACACGCCGGGGAGGGGGCCTTGCTGTTCACGCGCTCGGCTAAGGCAGACAGCAGCAGCTCGGGCACATTTCTTCTTAGCCTTATTTATTATTGTGTGTTATTTAAACAAGTGTGTTCGTCTGTGCTGGGGACAGGGAGGGACTGTTGCCTTCAGAACCTGGAGCCGGGGGCCCAATGACTTGGGCGTTAGGAGTCCCTGGGAATCAGCACTGTGTGTAAAATTCTGCTACCTCACTGGGGTCCTGGGGCCGACACGGGACAGGGGAGAGGGCCAGAGAAGCTGCTCTTGTCTGCCAGGCAGCAGCTGGTCCTCAGCGAAAGAGTAATTTATTGTTTTTCCTTGTATTTAAAATTAAGAAATAAAATGTTATCAAAGGGTTAATAATATATAGAAGCGCAGCCTAGAAGGCTGCATTTGGTGTGTGTGGCCTGGTGGGGAGGGGGTCACTGAATATGTTCTTTCACTGACTTTGTCAAACTGGAAGCCAGAAATAAAGGCGGTGACAAGAGACTGGATGATGTTTGTGTTTTACTTTGGCCCTGGTGGACCCTGGTCTAGCCTCCTAAGACTCTGAGGAGCTCTTTGGGAGACAGGGCAGGTGGAGGAGGGGGTCTGAGAAGGAGTGCAGGGGGAGTGCGGGAGAGGACCTGGGCTGAAAGGAAGCAAGCCCCCAGGGGGGTGGCTGGCCTGAAAGACGTGCCCCCACCTACCACCCACAGGGAGGGAGGAGCAGCTTGGACCAGGACATCTGGGTTCAAGGAGGACATGTGGAACAGGCAAGAGACCTCAGAAGTCATCTTATGATCAGAGGAGTGGCCCTCCTGTGTCTGGTACCACCCCCACACCCTCCAGCATCTCCCTCATGGCCTCTCTGAAGCTTGGGGGAGAGGAGGCAATGTGCCCAAGGTCATACTCCTGGTAAGGAGCAAAGCCAGGATTAGAACCCAGAACTCACTCCAACTCCAAAGCCCATACACTTAACCACTCTGCCTTCCTCTGTCCAAATGTCATCTGGCCTAAATGCATGACTTTTTTTTAAGTAGGCTCCATGCCCAGCGTGGAGCCAGATGGCAGGGCTTGAACTCACGACCCTGAGATCAAGATCTGAGCTGAGATCAAGAGTCGGACGTTTAACCGAATGAGCCACCCAGGCACCCCACGACTTTTGTAACATTGGCATCAACCTGTTTGGGCACCTCCCCTGATAGGAAGCTCCCAAATTCCTTTCTAGGGACAGCCAGTCAGTCCCTGGACACATCTCATCGTTAGTGCACACTTACCACCTCTGTGAACAAAGATGCACCAACTGACTTACGGCCCCTGCACTATGGAATGACAAGTGGAGACCCAAGGTCACAGGGCCCTGCTCAGACCACCTCCCCAACCAGGTCTTTTTGCTTCTCCCCGGGCCCAGGCCAGCACCACGAGTGCCAGAAGCAGCAGGCCGCAGCAAGCCACAGCTAATGCTCACGCCCGTCAGGAGCGGTTTACACGGAATCTCTGAGAGGCGCCCAGAAGGATGCGATGCCTCTGCATCGGGTGGTGGGTCATCAGAGACCAGTCTCAAACACTGAATGGCAGGCGGGTACCTTGCCTGGGAAGCCCCGAGCCCTGTGGGAACACCCAGAGCGATGCTCAGAAGCCAGTGGAGGCAGCCACCCCGGGAGCCGCGAGAGGTGATGCTGTGTGTGATGCACACCACAGACGCCATGGCAGGACCCGTCCCAGGGCAGAGGTGCATGGCGGGCAGCTCCGGGAGCCACTCAGAGACGGCGGACCCCTTGCACCCAGGCAGAAGCGAGGCAAGACCTAGGGAGGGGGCATGGGAGCTGAGCGTGCCACGGGCCGTCGGGGGCAGGCGCTGGACCGTCTCTGTGGTCCCGGGAGGTCTCAGAACCTGTTTGGTCCCACTACATTTGTGGCGGCCTGCACTCGTCCAGCCCCGGGGCTAACTGGGACCAAGACACCACACGCACTCACGGGTTCGCACCAGAAAGAAGTCTCTGAGCGATGGAGGCTCCCCTGCAGCCGCTCTCCATTCAGAGTTCCAAGGGTTTTAAGGCCAGAGGATATTTAGGGAAGACTAATTCCGTTTTTATGCAAAACTTAGCCATCCATTCTCTGGCCACATCACCTTTCACCACATCCTCTGCTCAACCAGAGTCCTGGCCTGTCTGTCTGAAGGAGAATGCAAAGTCTTCGGGTGAAATTCCATGTGACTCTCCCAAGAACAAAGACCGGAGCTGAGGCTGGTGCGGGCAGGGCCAGTGACGGTTTCCTAAGGATGTATTCCCGTGGTAGTCAGGAGGGTGTACGGCCCTAAGAGGGCCGCAGAGGCTCCACCACTAGGGGTCCACAGCGCGCCGCGTCCTCAGCTCCCCACAGCTCCCTGCCTGCCGCTCTGAGACCATGCCCGAGACAAGGGACCTGTGTTCACGGGGTGTGCAGTCAGCCAGGGGGGCCTCGGGCCATTCCAGGAATGGTGGACCTCACGGAGCCACAGAACCAAGCCAGTGTGGGTGGCCAAAGGGAGGTGGGCCCGGCCAGGAATGAGAGAGAAAGAGGCAGATGAAACAGGAAAAGAGGGTGCGTGTCAGCTGTCACGGCCGGGAGCACCACCTGGGGACTGAGACCCGGGGTATTTGCTGGGAGTTTCTCTAACCATGTGGTCTCACTTCTTCCATGCGGAGAGGCAAACCCTGGGCAGGGCCCAGACAGAAGGGCGGTTGGGAAGAGACAGGGTGCTTGCTGAGTGGGAGGGAGATGCTGGTCATGGGGCCCAGGGTGGGGAGCCCCTCTGCACCCCAGGAACTCCAGGCCCCAGAGGTTTCACTGGAAGAGGGGCCAGGGCTCAAGTGAGAAGTGAGACACACTTGAGTTTCCGGTGAACTCGGCACCAAACACCTCTGTTTGCTGCTCAGATGAGGTGTCAGAAAACATTGCGAGTCACTGCTGGGGTTTCTCCAAGGCTTGGCCCTCTGAAGTGCTCAGGACTCAGGAGGACAAGGGTTTGCATCTTGCTTCCTTGTAACCCAGCAGCTTGAAGGCTGGGGTTTATCGAATCCATCGGCTCGTGGCTTTTTCATTATTATCAACAGGAAAGTGCCTTCTGCTTAGTATCTTAATTTAGCTGGTCAGTTTGAGCAAAACCGAAAACCGTTTCTCCCTTTAGCTGACTCCCTTCCGAGCAGGCCCTGCCGAGTCCAGGCTGACTGTGTTCCAGGCTGGCCGCCCGGTCTCGGACCCACGGGCCAGTCACCTGGGCCTCCCCAGAGGCCCAAGCTGGGGTCAAGAGCTGATGGCTGTAGCCACGGTCACCCCTCCCACGCACGCTGCCCAAGTCCTACACTGAAAAATAAAAGTCATAAAGCCTCATTATGTTCATTCATTTCTCAGCTCCACCCAACAGCAGCAGAGTAAAGGGTTTGCAACGAACTTTCCCAGATCAACTGATTTCTCAGCAGCAAGGGAGGGCCCCATGACGAAGCCATTTGAAATCCCAGAAGCGATTTTCTACCTACGACCTCACTTTCTGTTGCGCTCTCTCCCTGCCCCTGCACGATGCCTTCTCTTGTGGAAAGTGGTTCTCTCAGAGCGGCCTTCAGACCCACCCCCAGCCGGTGCACCTCCTGGGCCGACGCTGCTGTGCGGTCACTGGTGACGCAAGGCCAGCATTAAATATAGCAGCTCACGTCAGTTCCGCTCACTGCATTGCTCGGACAAGCTAGCAAGCCCGTGGCGAGGGCAATTCCTGAAAGCCAGCCCGCCGTGGAGGCCCCTGCAGGCCAGAGGGTCCATGTGCCCCGCTGAGCCCAGGGCCCCGGGCCAGAAGGAGTCCCAGGGACACCGCATTAGAAAGGCAATTTCTCATTTAGTGTCTCCTCTTTCTGCTCATCTGTTTTCCCACATGTTCTGTAATGAGCATATATTCATTTCCCACTGGGGGACAAAGACAAATTTAAGCCAAAAAAAACCGAAAACGAAACAAAATGAGATTGGGGACTGGTCCGTGAACGTCCGGAAGGGGCCAGCAGCACTCGCAGGACAGGCTAGCCAGGAGCCCGAGCTCGGTTCTAAGCGCCCTCTGGGAGCTGGCTGTCTCAGGGACAGAGCTGGGCACCGGCAGGGGTCCGGGACACAGGAGGTCCAGCACCACTCCTCCCAAGGGCCAAGCCGGTCCTGTGTTGCCAAAGATAGAGGAAGACACACTGTTCTTGGGGGGTCCTCACCCAGCCCCGGTCTGCCAGCCTGGAGGGAAGGGGGTAAGATGGGAAAGAGTGGGCCGCCAGTCCAGCTCTGAGGCTGCAGTGACGGATGCCCCAGGGACGGAGGGAGAGGTCCTGCACACTCCTCAGCCAGCTTCCGTCTCTCAGGAGAAGGACCTTCACCTGCTTCTCAAAGAAAAGAGAACCCAGCAGCCTAAGGAGCTACTTCAGCTCCACTCAGAGAAGCCAGAGTCCACAGCTGTACCTGCCTTGGCCCCCTTCTCCCTGCCTTGTTTGCTCCCTCTGAGAGGTCCTCTTTGCATCTGTACTCAGGATCCCATTCTCCCTGCCCTTGCCAGGGGATCCAAACAAGTCCCAGCTGTGCCCCTAACTTCCCTCATGGTTACTCAGGCCAAGTCTTGGCTGCCCTCTCTGTGAAATGGAGCTCCATTCATTCATTCATTCATTCATTCAGTAAGTACCCATTGAGGCCTTTACCAGGTGTTCTAGGCACTGAGGATCCATGATGAACAAAACTAAGGTTACTTC